TTATACAATGAATTTTTAATGTGTTATGTCTGTTACCTAGCATATTCTTGATGGGGTGTCAACTTATTTAATGATGATTTGAATGATATTCACAACACAGAGTACTGACTGTAATGAATGTTATGTAAATTCCAGCTAATAATTGAATTTGTAATCAATTGTCATACAGAATAATTAAATGTTAACTAATTTATAATTAATCCTTGATAGATATCACATAAATTATAACAATAACGATAAATAATAAATAACAAAAATAAATAAAATGCAATAACTTTAAATATTATAACAGTGTTTCGTAAACTGTAATATAATTTATTTAAAATTAATTTTATATATTTTAATTTATTTTAACAATATACTTGGACTTATCATTGAATTTCTCAATATTAAGTTAATATTTTTTCTATTACTTTAGCCATGATCAAGGTAAACGCCCTTCTCAATTTTATCGCTCATAATATGAAACGCTATGAATCGGCAAATCCCACCATGGTAAACATTACGTATGACCTGGGTACTTTGATTAATGCCAGGAATAGTATTGTGGATTTGCTCAACAAAATCACCAACATACCTGCTACAAATCAGAGTAACCTGGTTGATTTATGCGTTGATTGTTAAAAATAACCGTTTAATTCTGATTATTTTAAATGTTCTGTTTTGTAAATTATTTTTATTTAAATAAACTATTTATTAATTACTAAACATTGTACCTTGAAATGTTTAACAAACTGTAATATAATTTTTAAAGTGTCTATTTAATTACTGTAATGTTACTTTATGACCACAATGGGAACAATCAACTTATTGGATATAAATATTAAATCAATGTTTTCATTTCTCTAGCCATGATCAGGGTAAAATACCCTTGTCAATTTTATCGCACATAATTTTAAACGATGTCAATCAACAAATCCTACCATGGTTAACATTACGTATCAACTGTGTAATAGTGGTTATAGACAGTACTTGGATGCTTTTTTCACATGAAAAAAGTGAAAACTATACAATTAATATTTAATTCATTGCATAATTCAATGCTTTATAAAACACAATTTTAATATTTCTGTTAAATAAAATAATAAACGCTACTTTTTTGTGACCAAAAAATTAAATAAGCATACGTTTGATGTCTATAGTAATAAATGGAATACTGGGGCGTACCAATTTAAAAATATGGTTATATGAGTAGCAATATCATTATTGGTTAATTAATTACCATTACAGTTTATTGCATAATAATTTATACAATTTATCAAAGATATTATCACATACTGTATACTAGACTTACATTTATAAAAACAATATGGTAGTAAAAATAGTAATAATTAAAGGTGGTAATTAACGGAAATTTTAGTTATATTTAAATCAACATAAAAAAGTTACTAAACACTTAATTATTTTTGTGATAACAGTATAAAGTTTACAATTACAATTAATTAAATTATAAATCAATTAATTAATCATACATATTGTAATCACAAAAATGTACAATGTGAACAAACTATTTAGTTTATCATTTCTGTTCAACAAGACGTGTTTCAAACTATTAACCATGATATTTGTAGATACTATTCACTTTAGCCATTGGCATACATCTGACATTACTAATAATTATGATTTATTATCATCTACATAATATGTCAACACACCTTTATGAAAATTATACAATATTATTAGCCCTGGGTGTAATTATTTACATTATTGGACTGTACGGTGCTATAAAAGTGTATCGTTTCTTACTAGCATTTTGCGCATTTGTCTCACTTTATAAAATATTACCTTAAGTAATTTACCTGGTTATGATGCTATCGGTGATAATCATATCTAATTGTTTTACCCTGATTGTTCATTGATTTTGTTTCTGATTTGTTGCGTATATATACGAGTGTTTTAACAGAAAAATAAAGATAAGCAAATTACGCTAATTAATCAGGTGTGTTTATTAATTGATGATATATTTGAGAAAATTAATTAAATTATATTTTGTTTGAATATACATCAACAGGGTAGTTTCATAACTTAAATAACTGTATTTAAACTAGATTAATATGTTTAAACTTAACAATAATAAATTATCATATAGAATAATTAACTTTCGACTAATTCATAATTAAACCTTAATAGATTACATTATCACATAAATTATAACAATAAATAATAAATAACAAAAATAAATAAACTACAATAACTTTAAATATTATAATTCGTGTTTGGTTAATATTTTTGTCATTGTTTGGTAAACTGTAATTTAATTCATTTAAGAGTTATTTTATATACTTTAATTTATTTTAATAATACAATTGGATAAAGTATATAAAAATTAATTCTTAAATATTAAATTAGTAATTTTTACTATTATTTTAGCCATGATCAGGGTAAACGCACTTCTCAATTTTATCGCCCATAATATGAAACGCTATGAATCGGCAAATCCTACCATGGTGAACATTACGTACAACCTGGGTACTTTGATTAATGCCAGAAATAGTATTGTGGATTTGCGCAACAAAATCACCAACATACCTCCTACAAATCAGAGTAACCTGGTAGATTTAGCACATTGGGAACAATGGACAGAGGACTGGATTAAACGGATGGATGATTATATTAGGAGTCAATCGATGTGATAATTGATATATTCTCGCAAATGTTTTTAAAAATGTAAATTAAATGTTCTCAAAAAAAATTTTTGTTGCAACATTTTATATTTGTTATTTAATTTATATCTTGATTAATAAATATTAATAATTACAATAATATAGTAAAATAAATTGTTGAAAATAACCTTTTAATGCTAATTATTATAAATGCCAATGTCTTGTAAATTATTTTTATTTAAATAAACTATTTACTAAATACAAAACATTGTAACTTGAAATGTTTAACAAACTGTAGTATAATTTTTAAATTGTTTATTTAATTACTGTAATGTCACTTTATGACCACAATGGGGAAAGCGATTCTTTGGAATATTTTTCATTTCTCTAGCCATGATCTTGGTATAATATCTTTATCAATTTTATCGCTCATAATATGAAATGATGTGAATGAGCAAATCCTACCATGGTTGACATTACGTACGACCTTTGTAGTAGTGATAATATACATGATTTGGATGTTTTTGTGAATTACATGAAAAATTAAGAACTATGCAATTAATATTTGATTTATTAAGCACAACTTTAATATATTTAACACACCATAACACAACTTATTTCTTTTAATTAAAATTTAAACAATAAACGTTACTTTTTCTGTGATCAAAAAAATCAATTATTATATGTTTGATGTCTATATTGTGAGCGCAAAATTTTTGCGACGTTATGCAATCATTTGTGACGTCGACTACAGCACTACTACAGTGGCTGTGAGCCATGTAAATGTAGTGCTGTAGTAGTGCTGTGCTGTGCTGTAGTATACGTTACAAATGTTTATATAACGTCGCAAAAATTTTGCGCTCACAATAGTAATAAGTGGATAGCTATGGCTACCAATTTAACATTATGGTAATATGAATAGCAATATCATTATCTGTTTATTAATTAGCATTACAGTTTATTGCATAATATTTTATACAATGGATTTTTAATGTATTATGTCTGTTACCAAAGATATTATCACATACTGTATACTAGACTTACATCTAAAAAACAATATGGTAGTAACAATAACAATAATTACAATTGGAATAAGACATAGGTTTAATTATATTTAAATCAACATAAGAAAGTTACTAAACACTTAATTGTTTTAGTGACAACAGTACAAAGTTTATAACTACAATTAATTAATCATAGAACGTGTAACCACAAAAATGTACCATGTAAACAAGCTATTTAGTTTATCATTTCTGTTCAACAAGACATGTTTCAAACTATTCACCATAATTCTATTCATTTTGGCCATTGTCATACACCTGACATTACTAACCATTATGTTTAATTATAACCTACATGGTCTGTCAATATACCGTCATGAATACTATACAATATTTTTTGCCCTGGATGTTATCGTTTATCCCATTGGACTGTACGGTGCTATAAATGAGTATCGTTTCATAATAGCATTTTGCGCATTTGTCTCATTTTATAATATATTACCTGGTTATGATGCTACAAATGATAATAATGTCTACTGGTTTTACCCTGTTTATTCATTTATATTGTTTGTGATTTGTTGTGTATATATACGAGTGTTATGCCATCAAAATGAGGATGATGAAGTCGCCCTTATTGATGTTATTAATCTAAATGATTAGTGTGTAGATTAGTAAAAGGTAAGTGTGTTTATTAATTGATTATATTGGGGTGGAGTGGTAACGTAAATAGCTCCTTAACAAATAATAAACAAAGTTTGTGTAATGAAGATAGATTGTTATAATGTTATATAATTTTAGTTTGTATTGTATTGTAATAATTAAAATATAGTTAATATAATTATTAGCAGACATGATACTATTAAAATAATAAATTTACATGTTATGATATAATATAAATTATTTCAATTATTTGTAATTTTACAAAAACTTTAAAAGTATTGTTTTGTTAATATTTATAAATCTAGATTAAAAACTGAAAATTATACATAAAGTATATTATTACAAATATTTCACATGTATAAAATTAATTTGTGGATAGCAATAACAGTTATTATAAATACTTTTACATAATTATTGTAAAAGAGTATTTTACTACTGATAATCACCACCTAATCTATACCTAACACTACATAAATGTCGAGACCGTTGCCAAAGACATTATCAGGTAAAAGGGTTCCCATTATTAACACTACTCATCAAACAATACGGTAATAAAAAGTGAATTTCATTACAATCAGCCATTGAAATAACAATGTTTATTGTGTTTTGATATTAACAACAAAAACACATTAATAAACAATTAGCTATTTTGTGAGAACAAAGAAAGTGTAAAATTTTGAACAAAAGTTTATAAACAAATTATTTATAAATAAGTATAATTAAAAATCAACCAAAAATGGCCAAGATGAACTCATGTTTTCAGTGCTGCTGCACTATTATATGCCGTATGTTAAACATGAGATTTCTCAAATGGTTTATGATCATACTGTGCTCGCTGGCTACCGTGATGTTTTTGACCTTGCTAATATTGGAGGTCAAGTTTGATCTGGGTGAAAAGTCTGAACATTGGCACGTATTTTACGTGGTGCTATTTGCATTTGGCATTGGCGTATGCGGTACAACAGCCTATGGCGCTTGTAGGGAGCGTGGTCGTTTAATGAGATTTTTCACCTTGTTTCTGTTGGTGAATATATTATCGGGAATTGCGTCCACTGTTAGAAACAATGACCTCTGGTTTTACCCGATTGTGTCGTTTGTATTGTTTGTGATCTGCGGCTCATATGTAGAAGAGGTTTGCCGTAAAAACAAGCAAAATGTTGAATCGCTCAGGGACGTTTCAATTACGGTACAATCCGGTATGTTTAACTTTATAAATTATCTAGTTTAATGTATTTTTGCAGAATATTTTTAGCTATTTATTTAATTTAGATCAATTTATTAATAAGTTATTACTAATCTGAAAAGTTAAATATAACAGATATAAAAATAAGTAGTGACTCAACCTATTATAAAACTACTTCACCTACTGTAAACTATTTTTATAATTGCTAATTTAATTATTGTAAGTTCTTTTTATTAAAAACATTGGTTTCACGAGAGCATCGGAATTTATATTTTATTCTATTAAATAGCAATCAATTATTACAATATTTAAATTTATTTATTATTATTGTTTAGCTCCGCAGACATCAGGTGTGCCCACAGTATGTCCCACACGACCAGACCTGGAGACTCGGGTCAAAGCTTTACTTGACTACACGGCCGACAATATTAAACGCTTTGAGTCCAACAATCTGGCCAAGGTCAATATTTCGTACGACCTAGCCACTTTGGCAAACGCTCTTGATAGTATTGATGATTTGAGTTGTAAAATATATGATGCACCAACCGATGATCAAAGTAACCTGGTGGATTTATGCGGCAAATTAATGCATTGGGAACAGTGGACACAGGGCTGGATTAAAATGATGGACGATTATATCAGGATTGGTTAAATGTTATAAAATAATAATAGTTTAAATGTGTTATTAATAAAAGTAATTAATTTAAAAGCATAATTGTTTTTAAATTTTATTATAATATTATTCAATTTTTTTAAATGCGTAAAATAATACAATTACAGAATACAAAATGTTATAAAGCTAACTAAATAACAAACAAATAATCAAATAAATGTTTATTTAATTTTTGTAATTGTATGTTATTAATGTTTGTGACCACAATTCTGTATATAAAATAATGTAATTTAAAAATATTGTAGAGACCGGAAATTTAGTTCTAAACAAATTTATGTTTAATTCAAAGTTCTACGAAATAGTTGTTAAATGTTTTAGTATAACTTTTGATATCCGTTCAATATTTCATTTGTTATTAAATTAATATATAATTGTTTCGATATAAATTGTACTTTAATCACAAGTTTTATGTATTAGGAATGTGATGTGAAATGATGTTTAAAATCTAATGAAGTTTATAAATGTATTTCCTATTCAATGGGTATATAAGCCATTGATTACTTGTATTAATTGTCAATCACTTGTCTGTTGCCAACTATTGTAAAAGTCTTGATATTAAATAAATATATTTGTGTTAAACTAAAAGCCAAGTTATACTAAATTAGTGTCCATAAGAGTCCGATCTCTAGTGATCGGGCCTTTCGGCCCGATTCCTACAATATAAAACTATTTTTTAGACAGTAATTAATTTTAATAATTGTTTATTTAATATTTGTAAATATTTAAAAATAATACATTGGTCTTGATAAAACTCAACATCTTTTATATCTTATTTTATTAAATAACAATTAATTTATATTTATACAAAACATCATTGGGAACTTTAGAGTTATTTATTAAGTTTTTTAAATATTATTTGTTAAATTGAAGGTATAAAATGTTTGATTAATATTATTAATAAAATTTATTTTTCATCATTTATTTAATTAGATGTAATGATAAGCACAAGGAATAATCATATTAAATTTATTTTATTATTTTTAATTTAAATAGCCTGGATGTTTACGTCGTAATCTACAAATATAAAATTACTTTGTAGACTGTACTTAATTTTAATAATTGTTTATTAAATCATTGTAAATATTTAAAAATAGTACATTGGTTTGTAAAACAGATAATCTTTTATACTTTATTTTATTTAATAACAAATAATTTATTATTGGAAAGCATCTAGGTAAAGAGCAAAAAAGCTGAAACTTGGTGGATTTGTGCGGTAAGATGTTGTATTGAGAACAGTGGACACAGGGCTGAATTAAAATGATGGACAATTATATTAGGATTGGTTAAATGTTATATAATTGTGATAATTTAAATGTGTGTTAATGTAACTATGTTAATTGATAAAATTAATTAATTCAAGAGCATAATTGTTTTTAAATTTTATAATAATTTTGTTTAATGCTTTTAAATATGCAACTATATTAATTAAAAATCTTACAAACAAAATTACAATGCTATTTAATTGTTAATATAATTTAAAATTATTACAGATATACAATGTATAAAACACAAAATGTTATAAAGCTAACTAAATAACAAACTGTAGTGTAGTCAAATAGATGTTTATTAAATTTTTGTAAATTTATGTTATTAATAATTTTGGAATTCATACAACAACCCACCATTTTTGTCCAGAATTTTGTATAGAATAATGTAGTTTATATCATTGTTAGGTCAACTCTTCTTATCCACCCAGTTTAATCTATGGCAATATTATAACATTGGTAATGCCAAGTCTCTGGGTAACTTTATGAAATTAATGCTAATCCTATAGCAAATGATAAATCTATGGCAATGATAAATCTATGGGTAATTATATGCTTATGGTCTAATATTAGAATTTTTATACATTATGCTAATCTGTTGTTTGTGCGTCACTCGAATTATAAAATATAGCATCATGAATACAGCAACATACATGAAACATGTTTTAAATATAATTCAATAAATTAATTAGTTATAGTTAGTTTTACTTGTAATTACAATAGTTAAGTTCTTAAAGTAGGTCTGATTAATACATCCTTAACATCAATACCTAATTTTGAGTTTTTTATTTAGATTTTTAAATTTTATATTATTGAATGGAAATTACTAAAAATATTATTAATAAAATTTATTTTTTATCAAACTTTCGTCATATTTATTTAAGTAGATGTAATGATAAACCCAATAAATAATGATATTAATTTAAATTATTTTTATTTAAAAACACCGTTAAATAGTCAATGATTTAAATGTTTACGACGTAAACTAAAAAATAAAACTACTTTTTAGACTGTAATAAATTGAAATAATTGTTTATTTAATTATTGTGTATATTTTAAAATAGTACATTGGTTCCACAGACAAACGAGCTTTATACCTTATTTTATTAAATCACAATTAATTGATATTTAATTTATTAACATTATTGGGATATTTTTTGAGTTAATCGACTTACTTTTTAAAACATTTGGCTGAAAATGTTTATTGTATAAGTATTTTCAATCTCTTATATCAATTCGATGTAGAACTTAACGGTGATTAACGATAATATGAAATCATTTTATCTATCAAATTATTAGTAGAATTGGAAACCTATTAGACTACCTATTTTGTAGTGTAGCTAAAATTCTGAAATCAGTCTGATAATTTAAGTTAACATTCTTAAGCACTAGAATACAAGTTTCATCAAGATGGGATGAGTAGTTAATGAACAGGATTTTTTCAAAGTTTGTCAGTCGGAATTATTTTGAAAAATTTACAACAAAATAT